GAATTTTTGTAGGATTTTTCTAAATGGAGTTATGATTTTTTTTCGATTTTTCGGGCAGTTGAGTCTTTTTAGTTTTCGTCTTGAAACTCGAGATGAATCAGAGCTGGCACAAAAGCGAGATAGCCTTTTTGTGGAGCTTCTTTGCTCTATTAAAGGTGCCTTGAAACCTAGATAGAAACAAAAGTTCATGATTTATTGCGATTGAAAATCAAAGCGGACGGAACTTGTGGGACAACCTATAAAAAAGCGAAAATTTCGAATATTCGACTTTCGAATAATATTCGAGTATCGAACGTCGTTTGTTATTCGAATTTCCAATATTATCCGGTCTTTGAATATTATTCGATTTTCGAACACCACTCGAATAAAATTGCCAGTGAAATGACTGCCTATGGCGAAAACATCTTAGAATATACTGTTTTTTTTTAGTACTAGCAGTAACACTTTTTCCATTTTAAGGATTCGTGATAAAAACGGCTCAGTAATGACATCAAGCAACTTGAGAACTAAATGTCTACTTCTGTGACGTTGTAAAGATTTCAGAACTTTAAAAAAGATCATCATTTCAAGTCGTGGTTCCAGAGTAGTGAAACCGAACAACTACTGCGACATATGAAGACGGTTTCTTTTGCGTACTGTTCAGATTACCATACGAAAACCATCCATACTTGGATACCCTCCACTGAAAGCTGTGGATCAATATACAATTTGTTGTAAAAGTGTGTAGACGCTGCTCAATCGTTACTTCTCCTTCCACAGCATTATATGCCGAACTTTAGGTACCATTCTGTAGGGCTGACCTCAATTTGATTTTATGATACGATACTGCTCACAGAATGTGCAAAATTTCCGTAAATTGTCGCGGAATTTCAGGAATTCCGTGGAACTCCGCGGCATCAGAATCACGCGAGTCACGCAAACTACGCATCGCCATAACCCCCCTTCGGAGTTAGTATATTCTGCACCCGATAAAAACATCGTCTTCAGCTTGTTAAGGCGAATCCTATGAGATATACAGCATGTCCTCGATATCCCGTTTCCAGTTTTCTCAAATTTTTCTGTGGAGGTCATTTCGCAAGGATGTAACGCAGCGTCTATTCAGTGCAAAAGATACCAGTAAAAACAATTCCATAGGACTGTTTTTGTTGTAGTGCGCTAAAAGTAGCCGCAGACTTCTTTCGAAAGCAAATAAGAGGGCTTGTGAATTCTGCAAAAACCATGTCGTTTGAAATTTTACTCACCACAACCCTAAAATTTGAAGCTCTCTCGCTAAGCAGATGTTATTTTCGTAAACAGGTGTCCGAAACCCTCTATAAGCGGAAGTTTTCTTAAAATCCAATATCATCAGCATTTTGAACAAAATTCGCCTGAAAGCTTCAGAGCGTCAAAGGAGAAAAAATGAAATAACCCGAACACTTGGAAAACTTGCTCATAGAGGTTCCCGACCTGCTAAGCGAGAGAGCATTATATTTTAGGTATATGTGAGTAAAATTCAAAACGACATGGTTTTTGCAAATTACCACCCCTTTTTATTCCTTTGGAAAGAAGTGTACGGCTACTTTTTAGCGCACTATAATTTACAAAAATACTTTCAGACAATTTTCACTGGTATCTTTTGCGTTGCATAGGCGCTGCTTTGCGAACTCTGCGAAAAATTTAAGAAAACTGGAAACGGAATATCGAGGACATGCTATATCGAAAGATTCGCCTTGACGAGCTAAACACAATGCTTCTTCCTGATGCAGAATGTACTTATTCCTATGGAAGCCATGGCGCTGCGTAGTGTGCCTGATAATTCGTGACATCCACGGGAATTTTGCACATTCTGTAAGTGTATTTGTCAAACCGACTCATCATCACTGTTGTAGACCCCGTGGGAAAGTTGAAGAGGGTTTTAAGACATTGAGAGCCGTATTTTGCATGAGAAAGAAAACCAAAAAAACCCAAGGTCATGCATACTTCTAGATTTACTCACTTTGATTATAAAATTTGCACTTAACCGTAAAACTTTTTTCGCAAGTTATGCTACGTACACCGTAACAACTGTTTTTCAATGCTACTCAGGAGAGTTCACACTTCGAAAAGCTTGAAAGAATCGTGAGAAGTTGCGTAGTAAAACCAGCATCCGTAAAAACTCTGCTATAAAAATTTTCAGATTTTATCATATAGGTTCTTTCCAATTTTACTTCGCAGTTGCTCTATATATCAGAAGTACCTCCTGTAATTCCACAATTTCAAAAAGCATGGATGATCAGTTTTTTGCTGTGAATGCACGATGAAGCCAGCCCTACAGAGATCGTTAACCGAAAGCATCCGCAAAGATAGGAGAGGTATAACCTAGAACAATGTGTAGGTACTCTTGGGACACCCAATATATGCTATGGATATCGAATATTTGAATAGTCGATGCTCATCGACTATTCGATACTCGATGAGCACGAAAAATGGAACGATGACCATCGAATATGCTACCATCGAATATTACTCGAAAGTTGAGTTTTTCGAATAATACTCGAAAATGAAAATTTTCGATAATTCGACTACCGGATATTATTCGAGAGAATTTTCATCATTCGCATTCGAATGCTTTATTCGGATAATCGAATAATCGTTCGATTCTGTCCAAAGTATAATGGCTATGCCGCCGTAATTCGGAGAAAAGTTAGGCACGCTCTTCATTTACTTTGTTCTTATTCCCCACTAACTGGCTTACCCGGCTCCGCCGTATGTTCCGAATAGAAAATTCCATTTCTCAATCGATCCGGACCAAACCTGGCACACATACACTTCGGGCCCCGGCGGGTGTCACAGTCCACTTTTCGTTATCGATCGATGTCGAAAAGTAGCCTATGACACCCGCCGGGGCCCGAAGTGTATGTGTGCTAAGTTTGGTCCCGATTGGTTCAGAAATGGAATTTTCTATTCGGAACATACGTACACACAGACAGACAGACATACAGACAGACAGACAAACAGACAAACAGACATTCAGCTTTATATATAAGAAATGCATATATATATAGGGCTTACAAACTCGATTGCATCAGCATCTCACTCCCGCGCTGGATTCTGCATCTTCCGCGAACATGCTTTCTGATCACTTTCCCGGGGCGAGTGGTGGAAAGGCGGAGCCTCAGTCGATTGGAAGTGATTATAGAGCATGTTCGCGGAAGAGATGCAGAGTCCAGCGCCGGAGTGGAGATGCTGATGCAAGCGACACTCGTTTGATAAGCTTTGTACACCTGGTTTCGAGCCATATCGTCACTGGCTTGCGAAATAGGTAGTCATTTTTTTCACTTTTCATTGATAAATTTCTCAAAAAAAAGCTTGTCACACCTTCACATTCCACAGTTTTCCACGGTATGCTACTTCTAACTTTTGTTATGTTCTAGTTTTGTTTTCACATCGTATCGGCTGTACCTAAGTGAGGCAGATGTTTCCCAGTTAATGCCAACTTGGGCAAGATTGTGTTTGTGCACGTCGATCATGTAATTCGCTGATTGGATGCGTTGCATGCCCTGTGTTTACAATCTCCCCTCTGCTTTCGCCACCAAAACGATCTCCCGCTTGACTTTTGCTACGGCCTTGGTCGCCAGCAGGCTCGAGGCCACCTAATCTCAAAAACGTTCTCCACGCCTATGAACACAAGTTTCCCTTGATCTTTCATACATTGCTTCAATTCCCGTAATGTGCATACAAAATCAAGTTTGGTGTCGTATAATTGCGCCTTCGCGGTAACAAGTCATTTATTTATCTCGGGCAGTGCTTGAGTTTTCACGATTTTCCCGAGAGCATGTTGGATTCAAATTTGTTGCTTTCGCAAAGGATAGAATTGTTAAGGCAGTGATGAATATAGCTACGTCTACGGAGAGGGTAGAGGTAAATAAAAGAGAGGTGAACTTGAGGTTCGGGCGGGCAGGAGAGGAGCGGGGGATCTTCATAGATGACCGATGTGTGATGATGGCGGTTTGGGGATTTTCGCTCTGGAGGCAAAAATAAGATGTAGACAAAGAATTTCATCGAAGTTAATTAGCCTTGAAGAATTCATTTATACGTCTCTCAAACCAAGAGAATTCAGTTTTACTTTAGTGAATCTTTATCAATCTTCCGTGGCGCTGTAATAACGATTTTGCCTTTGCCGTTACCCAATAGGATAGTGTGCCCGCGTGGCACCTGTGTCGAGCCCTTCGCAGATCTTACGAATTCCTTACCGCGCTAACTGGGTCGCAGCTAAAGCGCGCTTTCCTTTCCAACGATTCATTGTTATCATTGCTCGGTTCTGGCAAAGAGGAAAAGAGAAGTAAAACCATGTTACTATCCATTTACATTGGTGTAAGTTAGATCAACGTAAAATTTCTAAGAGAATTGGAAGTTTTGCGATCGAAGCGGCAATTGCCTGTGATTGATAAAGTGCAAAGCTCTTGTTCCTTCAACTCACTCTTTCATTCTTATCCCTTTTGTTTACATAACGATTTCTGAGCCATATCGTTGCTGCTTGTGCATTGCAAACGAGTCTTTTTCCTATTTTCAATCAGGAGAATTTTTTGAAAAAAATTGCTATCCTTTCGCTCACCTAAATTTTTCACAATTTCTTGTAGTTTGTTTCATTCTTATTTATAGCAAATTTTATGTCGTATGTCATTTTATCATGCGTTGTGAGCGATTTAGTTGCTTACCTTCTAGTTTGAAAAACTTGTTTTTGATATTTTGAGCATGTTCGTGTGCTTGTTTGTCACAAGACTGATGATGCTTGTGATTAATAGGCTGTCGTGGTGCATATGAAGTGTGTATTTACAACAACTTCTCCGCTTTTCTGCCTCAACGATTTCCACCACGACATTTGCTATCCTCGTGCCAAAACTTCATAACAAGGAAATGGCAAAAACTTTGTACGTATAAAAAAATCGTGTGGAAATCTAATAACTCAAAAACGTCATCCCACCAGTGCAAATTCAAATTCAGTTTCATCACATAAATTTTCAAATACGAAAACAATTAAGATTTCAACAACACTGGATCCGTGAAAGAAAAATCGCGCCTTACGGACTCGTTCGATATGGATGATTCACAATCCGATGATCTGGATTTGTTGCCTCCTCTTCCCGGTGCTCCTAGCACTAATCACACTTGGCTAAGCAAATTCCACTCCCTGAATTGTTGCAATCCAAGGATACCAAGTAAATGTAACATAATGTAACATGCACTTAAAATCAGGTTTTTGCTGGATCACTGCGAATTCTCAAACGTTCTGCATATTCATTAGCCTAACTGCCCTTTACGATCATACTTCTCACAAAGTCAAGACTAGTTTTTGCGTTCCTTATCCTTTGTCTGTTCAACTGTCCCGCTAATTTCGACGCTGTACACTACTTCCTGACAAACTCATTGTACCATCTAATCTTGAAATTCTTAGTTTGATTAGTTGTTTTCCCCAGACTTTGATTATTTGATTTGCATATTCATAGGATCTGCTTACGGGTGCCACTGGTCTCACTCATAAATGTATCTCATTGTATTAGTAACATGTATCATTGTACCATGTATTGCCTGTGGAGATTCAGTTTTCAGTTTCATGTTCTTAGGCACGCGCCAAAGTAATTCACTTCTGCTCAATCCACTTCAAGCCAAATCAGTGAACTGACCTATAACAAAGTGAATGATGTGGATTAAGTGGAAGTGTGACGCGTGCCTTATGAATTCGAACGCCATAGTTCTTGCGCTTTAAGATGGTATGTTAGATGAATGAGAATGGCCTTAGTGTCTGGCAGCACTTACTGTTTTGTAGTGTTTAGGTAACCTCGAGTCATTTATAACTTAATGTGTGAGTGTGCACACTATGCACGGCAGCCGACGGCAATCTTACTATTAACTCCTCACTGAAACCTTTTCTAGTGTAACAAACTGTAGATATGTGTTGTGCTAACTAATTCATAATCATCAAATCAAAAGAGATAAGGGAACAAGAAGAAATCACTGGAAATAAGCAGGTCCTAATCTTGCAAGTTCGTCAAGTAAGGCGCATTATGTGCATTACACATATTAAGTTACAAATGGCTTGAGGATACAGAACAATTGTTAGTCTATCATGAAGTTTTTGTTGTTGGAATTCAAGATTTCCACTTCAATATACATTCACTATTATAGACACAAATTAGATTTTCGAAAGCAGTTGTTACCATTAAGTTGTCCCGATTCTATCCGTTTCTTCAATGCACTATAAAACCACGCACAATAAAGACCTGAATGAGTTACAGCATGCATTCGATGCAGCTTTTCTTTCTCTTTCTTAATAATACATTTTCGTAATAAAACCTTGTATGCTTGTTTTGATAATTGCCAAAATTCTCTACCCGTCAATTTTTATCTGCTCAAAGTTAGGATTTTTGAAAATTTCATTCCAAAGTTTCGGAAAGTTAAGTATTTATCAAATAGAGCAATTTTTGGACTACAAGGTAGTACAGTCCTGGCCAAAACAATAAATCCACTCTAAAAATTGCCGTAGTTCATCTGCTTCTCAACGAATTAATCTGAGGTTTGGTACACCTGTCTGTTCAACAGGCTTCCATCAGTGACCGGAGCAAACTCGAAAAATCTACAGAAATCACTAAACACACCTTCAACAGGCACTTTTTTGAACGGAATTCGAACATGCTGTATACTCTCTGAAAGCGGAAAACGAGGCGATTCTGACGGTGTCTGAGTCGTTGCAGCTGCAGTTCGTCTACAACTTAAAACTCGAAAAATCTACAAAAATCACTAAACACACCTTTCAACAGGCACTTTTTTGAACGGAATTCGAACATGCTGTATACTCTCTGAAAGCGGAAAACGAGGCGATTCTGACGGTGTCTGAGTCGTTGCAGCTGCAGTTCGTCTACAACGTAAACTCGAAAAATCTACAGAAATCACTAAACACACCCTTCAACAGGCACTTTTTTGAACGGAATTCGAACATGCTGTATACTTACTTACATACTTAGATGGCCCGGCTTCACGTGACGTGCGGGCCCCAGCTCAGAAGTTTTCATTTCTCCCTGTCCCTCGCTTCTGATATCCACGATCTTCTTGGCTGACGTCGGTGGCTGCGTCCACGAGTTCCAGGTGCAAAAATCGTATACAGCTGATTTCTCAGCAGGTCCATCCGTTCCACGAACACGTCTGCCCACCTCGTTGGTGGTCTTCCTCGGGGACGTTTTGCTTCGCGAGGAATCCACTCCGATGTTCTTAATGTCCATCTGTCGTCTGTTCTTCTCATGATGTGACCGGCCCATCGATGCTTCGCTTTCGCAACGTAATCCGCTGGGTCACGAAGACGGGACATTCTCCTCATATCCATACTGCGAAGTCCGACGAGATTTGTTTGTGTCGGGTCATCTTCAGAAGACTACGCTCTAGCGCTCTGTGGGTGGTCCTTAGAGCTTTCGAAGTGGCGACGGTGTCAGCCCAAGTCTCAGCTGCGTAACAGAGCGCCGGTAGAACGGTTGAGTCGAACAGGTGGGCACGAAGCTCCGGGTCCTTCAGTTGGTCGGTGGCTTCCTTCAGAGGCCCGAAGGCGGCCCAGGCTGCTCTTCTTCTCCTGTTAAGTTCTTCCCTCAAGTCGTTCTCCATGTTCATCGAACGTCCGAGATACACGTAAGAAGACGTCTCCGTGATAGGGGTGCCTTCCAATTCCATTTCTGCATCTTCGCAAAGGGCGTTCTTCATGAACTGAGTCTTCTTCCGATTGATTCGCAATCCGATCTTCTTCCCTACTTCGTTCAGTTCCTTCAGCATCGTCTCTGCTTCAGTGATACTGCTCGAAAAGAGAACGATGTCGTCCGCAAAACGAAGGTTCGACAGGCATCTCCCATCAACTCGTATGCCTTTCTCGTCCCAGTCCAGTGACTTCATCACCCACTGCAAGGCCGCGGTGGTGAACAGCTTCGGCGAAATTGTGTCGCCTTGTCGAATCCCCTTCCCAATTGGGATGGTCAGGGGGCGATGGAATAGCTGCATGGTCGTTGTACAGTCCTTGTAACAGTCGGCTAACGTCCTCACGTAAGCTGGGTCCACTCCTTGATCGACTAGCGCAGACAGGATGGCGTTGGTTTCGACGCTGTCAAAGGCTTTCTCGTAGTCGACAAAGGTTAGGACGAGAGGCAGTCGGTATTTCCGGCAGACTTCTATGACCCTCGAAACCGTCTGGATGTGGTCCATGCAGCTGAATCCTTTGCGAAATCCAGCTTGTTCTTGGGGTTTCATCCAATGTCCTAGATATGCGAGCGAAGATAATCTTCGTGAAAAGCTTGTACAGCACACTCAGCAGGCATATTGGACGGTAGTTCCGAAGATCTTCCCGTTCACCCTTCTTGAAAAGAAGGACGGTTCTTGATGTTCTCCACTGGTCGGGAATCCTTTCCTTCTAAAGGTAAGTTGTTAGGTGCGACGCGAGGATCTCGTGTAGACGTTGTCCTCCAGCTCGCAGAAATTCGAGGGAAAGATGGTCCGGTCTCAGAGCCGTGGACGTCTTCATGGTCTGAATCGCTGTGCGCACTTCAGCAGGTAGAATTCGTGGTGGTACTTCTCCAGTGGGAACAACGGGCATCGGCACGGGTTTGATGAGCGGAAGAGGTTGGTATAGAAGTTCTTCGCGATAGATTTCATCTTGTATAGGGAAGAAGTCGGAGTCCCGTCTTCGTTCAATAGTGCAGCCAGCGGTACGCGATAATCACAGAGGTCCCTTCGGCACTTCTTGGGACTTCGTCTTCCTTCGGCTGCTTCCAGTATCTTGGCTTGCCTGTATTTCCTGGGATCCTCCTGCAAAGCTGTTCTGCAACTGGTGTTGGCTATCAGTCGCTCGAGATGGGTTGCATTCGAATCCTGCCTCAGAAATCTTCTTCTTTCAAGCATTTCCTTGGTGGTCTTCGAAATGCGTTCTACATTCTTCTCGGAAGTAACTGAGGCGCACTCTCCGCAGGCTCGCAATCCTTTCAGAAGCCGGTCGTAGTCGTACGTTGGGTCCTTCTCGATGGGCCAGCCACAACTTGATATGAGCTCCTCCAGCCTGTTACTGTCATAAACGACATTCTTCCTTCTTGCGGCACTGTGGCAGACCTTCTTTTCCAGCCTTCGACTGAATCGTACCTTCGCTCGGAGGAGGCGGTGATCGGAGCCACTGCAGAAGGATGGAACTACTGAGACATCGAGCAAGCTCCACCTTCGGTTGGTGAGAATGTGGTCGATCTCCGCGTGGGTCGTTCCGTTGGGCGATTCCCATGTTCACCGGCGATGTTCTTTCTTCATAAAGATGGAATTTCCATGGAAAAGTCGTGCGGCGGAGAGAAGCCCAACAAGACGGTTGCCGTTTTCGTTCCGGAGCCCATATCCAAACTTCCCGATCCTATATTCCTTTTCCAGTGGCATCCCGATTTTCGTGTTGAAGTCGCCCACAACAAACCTATAAAAAGACTTCTCGTTGCGGACGACCTCCTCCACATCTTCGTAGAAAGCATCTAGTTCTGATTCGTCAGCTGCTGATGTTGGAGAATAGCAGTTGATGATGCTGATGGTTTTCTGATGTGGAGGTCGTAGTCGTAGGATGCCTAGTCGAGGTGATAGGATCTCGTGCGAATCGACAAAATGGACGATAGATGGGTGGACGACAAAGCCGACGCCTCCCACGTTTCGTGATGGAACCTTTTCACCACGAATGATGAGGGTCCCATCACTCATCTGTCGCACGTCCTTCTTCCTGGACTTCGTTTCCTGTAGAGCGATGATGTGGTAATTGATGTGCTCTGCAGCGTCGAGAAGAGCGTGGAAGTCGGCGTTTGTGGAGACTGTCCTGGCGTTGTAGGTGCAGAGCATAAGGCAGTCTCCATGGCTTGTCGTCCGGGCAGACGTGTCGTTTTTGTCCAATCCGAAAGGCGCCCTGAGTACCCTGACATCGTTCTTGCTACCACCCGGCGCCGTAGGCGGGATCCGATGTACAGGGTTTTTTCTAAATCTTCTTGCTGTCTGAGTAATAAAATTTGTTCCCCTACAAGAGGTGGCTTACTAGGCCTACTCTTGATTTCCACGGGGCGATCGCTGACCCCGGGCTTGGAGCGGGGAGTGACCGCCTAGCGACCAGAAGAAGCCAGACGGCGGAGGATCTGGCGTGGCCAGTTCTTAGCTAGGCATCCGGCCGAAACCGGAAACGTCGAACTCCTTCACAGCTTGGGAGGCCCTACCAGAGTATACATTCGGCTGTGCATCGCAGTTCGACACCCAGTGTCACCCCCACGCCACGATGAGGCGACCGACCATTGTGGTGGCTCTTCTACAACCTACTCGATAAATGCGCAAAAATGCGCAAAACGAGGCGATTCTGACGGTGTCTGCGTCGTTCCAGCATCAATTTATCTACAACCTAACACTCGATAAATGCTCAAAACGAGGCGATTCCGACGGTGTCTGTGTTGTTCCAGCATCAATTCATCTACAACCTAACACTCGATAAGTGCTCAAAACGAGGCGATTCCGTTATAGTCTGTGTCGTTCGAGTATCAATTCTTCTACAACCTACTCGATAAATGCGCAAAAATGCGCAAAACGAGGCGATTCTGACGGTGTCTGCGTCGTTCCAGCATCAATTTATCTACAACCTAACACTCGATAAATGCTCAAAACGAGGCGATTCCGACGGTGTCTGCGTCGTTTTAGCATCAATTTATCTACAACCTAACACTCGATAAATGCTCAAAACGAGGCGATTCCGACGGTGTCTGCGTCGTTCCAGCATCAATTTATCTACAACCTAACACTCGATAAATGCTCAAAACGAGGCGATTCTGACGGTGTCCGTGTCGTTCCAGCATCAATACACCTACAACCTAATACTCGATAAATGCGCAAAACGAGGC